AAACTCACTATGTAGACCAGGCTGGCCTTGAACTCTCAGAGATCTGCCTCCCTCTGTCTCTGGAGTGCTGGGATTAAAGGTGTGTGTTCCACCACGCCCGGCTAATAAAAATATTTTTTAAAAAATTGTTAGAGTGTACAGTGTTCCTGGGGGAAGATATTTGTGGATAAAGAACAGAAAACTGCTTTCTACTTAAAAAAACAAAAACCATGTACTACTTGAAAATGTTTGCTCCAGTGCAGTTGAGAAAAACACCCACGTTAAGTTTGTGTTACTTAGTTTTACAAAATTTGGCAAGTGATAAAAGCACAGGGCTTTCTACCTCTTCATTTCCAGTTTTTCTCTTCTGTGTTTGGTAATTATCCATTACTGGTTAATTTAATCTATCCCTGGTGTTATTTGTCTGCTGGAGCTACTAATCAGATTTTCATTTTCCCTACACTTTGTAGGGAAAACATCTAATAAAGTGATCATTTTTAGTTGAAAATAAAAATTTGAACAAGATCATTCCCAGTTTTCATCAATAATTGATTAGTTTTCTTCCCAGTAGTGTTAAACAAGAATATGTCTCTAGTTTTGCCCCTGACTTTAATTATATTCCTTGTATGTATTTTTTAGGGCATTGATGTATAGTGAAGCAAACAGACGGGAGACATTTACCTCATGGCCACATGTTGGCTATAGGTGGGCACAGCCAGATCCCATGGCACAAGCTGGATTTTATCACCAGGTAAGAAACATCAAAAACACCCTCCCATGTGCTTTCAGTAAAATCAGCATTTTAATAGTTTTTGCTGTTTTGTGCATATTTCCCCCATATTTGCTGTTGTGATACTGTATCCTGTGTTGTATATTTGGAATGAAAGAGCAAAAAAAAAAAAAAGTTTAGTTACTTAACTAAGTATTGTCTTTCAGATTAGATACATTTTCTTCTTCATTTTTTGGATACCAAACTGATTTGTTTTTGTGTTCTCTTACTGTGACTTTTGGGAAATGCCTTCTTTGGCTTGTGTTTATTTTTGGTGTTCGACTAATGCCTTTATAAACTAGTAATAGATTTTTGGGGTAATCCACACTTGGAATTTTAACACTTGGGAGGCTGGGCTGGGGAGATTGTGAGTTGTAGACCAATCAGAAATAAATAGTGAAATACTGTCTTTAAAAAATGAAAAACAAGCTGGTTGTGTCCCAGTACGTGGGAGGCAGAGGCAGGCAGATCGCTGTGAGCTCAAGGCCAGCCTGGTCTACATAGTGAGTTCCAGGCCAGCTGGGGCTACAAAAAGACTGAAAAAAAAAAAAATTTTACCATGTACCAGGCAATTAACACATGTGGCATTACAAATAGTTGAATGAAGGGGTTGGGGATTTAGCTCAGTGGTAGTAGAGTGCTTGCCTAGCAAGTGCAAGGTCCTGGGTTCGGTCCTCAGCTGCAAAAAAAAAAAAAAACAAAAACACAAAATGCAGGACCCATTTAGGTTCTAGAGGTATCAGTCTAGTTCTTTTGTAGGTGTGGTTATATCTGTGCTAATAGAGGAAGAAGTAGGAAGAGAAATGACCAAGTGTAAAGAAAAGAGGAAGTGTGCTCATCCTAAGGATTAGAAAGATAAAAAGTATGGAGAATGGGATATTATAGAAAGTTCCACTGAAGTAGAGAGAAGGTAGGAAAAAGTGGTTTTAGCTAGGTGTAATTCACTAATAGGAAACTTCCCTAAGTAACTATTTTACTACTGTTGAAGAGTCTAAGAATTCTAATACTGGTATGGCAGTTTATATAATGCAGTCAAAAACTTTGAGCATTAGTGAAGAATCTGAAGAGTGATTCCTTTATTACCTTGAAGTATTCTAAATGAGAAAACTACACAGATATCTGTGTATATGTATATATCTGACTTTTACTTTCCGACTTAACAGTGTAAGGAGTATAACTTCCTTATACTGCCAGATAAGGAAGTATGGAGTCTGGCCAATGTTAGAATCACTGAAATTATTTCCCTAAATTTAGTGTGCATCATTCTTCATAATAATTTATTATCTTTCTTCCATTTTATTGTCATTTTCTAAAGGAGTCTCTGTTAAGTGGTACCTTATTATTTTTTCTGTTGAGTTTATTATAACCCATTCTACTTATGGATTATAAGACTGTTTATTCTTGGTTGTCTAAAACATAAAGTAATTTGCATGTGTAGAGTAAGTGCTTAAAATATTAATACTGGTTTTTTGTTTTTTTTAAAAAAATTATTTTATGTGTATGAGTGTTAATGCCTGCACATAGTTAAGTGCATCCACGTTGTACAGTGCTTGAGGAGGACAGAAGAGGCTGTCTGATCCGTTTGGACTGGAGTTATGGACAGTTGTTAGCTGCCATGTGGGTGCTGGGATTCGAACCTGGGTCTTCTGCAAGAACATTCAGTGTTCTTAACTGCTGAACCATTTCTCCAGCCCCTAATACTGGTTTTAAGATATGTTTCAGTTCATGTTCTGCTGTCAAAACCTGTTTTTAAAATACTTGTTATTTTGTGTGTATGAGTTTATTTCCTGCATGAATGTAAGTGTACCCATGCCATAGAGTGCCAATGGAAGTCAGTAGAGGACATTGGATTACCTGGAACTGGAGTTATGGACAGTTGTTAGGCACCCTGTGGGTACTGGGAACTGAACCCAGGTACTCTGTAAAAGCAGCTAGTGCTCTTAACTGCTAAGCCATCTCTCCAGTTCCTCAAAACCTGTTTTGTGTTTTTTTTGTTTTTCTTTTGTTTTTACTTGGTTGGGTATATAGCTCAGTTCTAGAGTGTTTCCCTAGCACTCACAAAGCCCTGACTGAGTTCAGTCTGTAAAACCACAAAAGAACCAACCAATCCTGGTATTTTTAAGCACTTACTCAATAGATGCAAATTTATTGAACACTTTATATTTACACATAAATAAAATATTAGTGTAGTTTTCTTTTCCTTAGAAAATCACGCTTAAAATGTGAACTTTTAAAAGTGGTTTTATTAAAAAGCCATTTAATAATGACTAATCAGCCTTCCCTCTTTTTTCCTCTCCATTTCCTCCCTCTGTCCACCTTTCTTCCCCCTTTTAACATAATTTTGCAGCCTGCCTCATCTGGAGATGATAGAGCCATGTGTTTTACTTGTAGCGTATGTCTCGTTTGTTGGGAACCTACAGATGAACCTTGGTGAGTCTTGAATTTTCTGGGCATAACAGGCTATTTAGTATTATTATTGTGCTACTAAATTTTACTTTTCTGGTCTCAATAATAATCTTCCTAACTTTTTGCTCTTTTATATTATTGTCACTGTCCTAAGAGAATGAGGTAGTCCTGTCTATATGCTGTCACATGACTTTCAAAAAATCTATGCATGGGAGAAGTACCAAAAAAAACAGAAATAGGCTCTTACCAGTCCAGAGACTATGGTAAAATCCACCCTAGCATTAATGTAGCAGTGTAATTGGAGTTCATCGAGGAAAGGCTAATAAAGAGAATCCATGGAGGCGAAGTGCTTACAGAATGCAGTTCTAATTTTAAGTGATTTTAGAGGGTGTCTTAGGTCTGTAGATTACAATGCATGAAATTTTAGTGCCTAATTAAACATTAGATACATATTGAGACCAATATTCACCAGTAACTACTCTGAGGATCTGCTCATAGATAAAGTAGTAATAGCAAGTATTTATGTCATATTACATTGTTGATGGTCATTTATTCTCACAGTAACTCTGAAGTAGGTGCTGTTATCAGTAGGAGGGAACTGAGATTTTCCAAGTTCATTTTTTTATTGGTGATAGTGATGCGGATTGAACTCATGGCCTTGTGAATTCTAAGATTCTAACAGTAACTATCACTAACTATATGACTAGCCATTCCAATTAATTTTCATATTCACTCTTTGAAATAGAAATTATTAACCCCCCTTTTTATACTTTTTTTTTTTTTGGTCTTTTTGAGACAAGGTCTCCCTGTAGCCCCAGCTGTCCTGGAACTCACTATGTAGACCAGGCTGGCCTTGAACTCACAGAGATCCGCCTGCCTCTGTCTCCCCAGTGCTGGGATTAAAGGTGTGCGCCACCACACCTGGCTTTAACCCCCCTTTTTAATAGTTGGTATTAATGTGCATGCGCGTGCATGTATGTGTGTGTTTTGAGACAGGGTCTCAGTATGTAGCCCTGGCTGGCCTAGAACTCTGTCCAGTCCAGGCTGACATTGAACTTACAGGAGTCTGCCTGCCTCTGCCTCTCAGGGTGTGTGGCAAAGATTTATTCATTTTTTTATTTTTAAGTGTATGTATGTGAGATACCACATTTGTGGTTGCCCTTGGAGGCCAGAAGAGGGAATTAGATCCCCTGGAGCTGGAGTTACAGGTAGTGATGAGCCACCCAGGGTGGGTGCTTGGCCCTCTGCAAGAATAGCAAGTTCTCTTAATAGCTGAGCCATTCTCTGTACTAACCCCCCAAAAGCACAGCCACCGAAACAAAATATGAATGATTTGATAAGATTAAGACTTTTCAGTAGTCAGAATACATTAAGTTCAATTGTTTGCATAAAAAAAGAATCTTGGATTTTTTGCTTTGCTGTTTGGTAAACTTCTTTTACTCTATGTAAAGGTCTGAACACGAGAGACATTCCCCCAACTGTCCGTTTGTGAAAGGCGAGCACACGCAGAATGTGCCCCTGTCCGTCACGCTCGCTACAAGTCCTGCGCAGTTTCCTTGTGCAGATGGAACTGACAGGATATCTTGCTTTGGGTCGGGGAGCTGCCCACATTTTCTAGCTGCTGCAACTAAACGAGGAAAGATCTGCATATGGGATGTTTCCAAACTCATGAAGGTTTGCTTTAATTTTGAAGTTAACACATTAATTAATTGGGGAAAAAAATCAGTTTTAAACAAGATTTTTCATTTGTAGGTGCACTTAAAGTTTGAAATTAATGCCTATGATCCAGCAATTGTACAACAGCTTATTCTGTCAGGAGACTCAGGTTCAGGAGTTGATTCAAGGAGACCAACTTTGGCATGGCTGGAGGAGTCCTCTAGTTGCTCAGATATTCCAAAATTGGAAGGAGATAGGTATGTGATTTTTAATATTTGTAGTGTAACATTTTTTCCTTTTCTAAATTTTATTTTCTTATCCTAATTGATGAGACAAAATGTATCAAGTTAAGAGAGTAGAAAATAAATGTTTAGATATGTAAAAGGTATATGAATCTCAGAGAGTAGTCTTCATTCAGAAATACCACAGTTTATTTGGGTGTGGTGACTGGAACCAGAGGACATCTCTGAATTCTAGGCCATGCTGGAGTATAGAGAGAGAATCTTGTCTCAAAAAACCAAAAAATATAACACTAAAAGGAAATACCACGGTCCATATAATATATACTTTGTTCCTGTCCTTTTTGTCCCCCCCTCAATTATATTTTCCTTTATGTTATACAACCGGGGCCCCACCAGGAGCTGATAAAAATACTGATAAATGAACAAAGATAAATACATCATAATGAGAAGCATAGTGTCAAACACCTAGAAAACACTGTCAGTTATAGTCATGAAGATAAAATAGATTTTAATAATTATTCATTAAATAGCAGGCCATCTAGCTCTTCTGTAATAAATATTAACTCATTCAACTCTTCTAAAGTATTTATTGTTTTTATTTTATGTGTGTGAGTGTATTGCCTCGAGTTGTTCAGTGCTCATGGAGGTTAGAAGAGGATGCTGGAGGGCTGGAGAGATGGCTCAGTGGTTAAGAACACTGGTTTTTCTTGCAGAAGACCCGGGTTCAAATCCCAGCACCCACATGGCAGCTAACAACTGTCTGTAACTCCAGTTCCAGGGAATCTAACAGTCTCATCTGTCCTCCAGGGGCATTGCATGACACGGGTGCTCTGGCCTATATGCAGACAATACACTCATATGCATAAAATAAAAAAAATAAAATATTTTTTTTTTTAAAAAGAAGAGGATGCTGGAACCCCTGGAACTGGTTATGGACGGTTGTTAGCTGCTATGTCGGTGCTGTTAACTGAACCCAAGTCCTCTGCAAGAGTATTTATTGTTTGGGTCTTGAAATAGGAAAAACCACCTTGTTTCTTATCTCAGTCCTTTCAATTAGAAATAACTACCACATTGGAAAAGATAAACTTTTAGGTGTTGTAGCTCACTATTAGAGTGCATGTGCAGCAGATGTGAGGCCCTGGATTCTGTTCCCAGGATCAAAACAAAGACATAAAAAAAGAAAAGAAAAATCTCGATATTGAAATTAAATCAGTAGATTAATTTATAACTTTATGCTCTATCAAATTTTTTCATAGAACACTTGAAACAAATGAATTTGGTTATCCATTTTTTTATTTCTACCTTGAGTTATGGAAGTGAATTTCACTCATGAATAGTGAAATAACTTTAGACGAGGCAAGAGAATATTATTTTAAACAATATGCTGATAGTAATGAACCAAGAAAGATTTATGTGTATGCATGTATTGCCTACATATAGGTAATTGCACCCATATTGTGCAGTGCCCACGGAGGACAGAGAGGCTGTCAGATCCCCTGGAACTGGAGTTAAGGACAGTTGTTAGCTGGGTGCTGGGATTCGAACCTGGGTCTTTTACGAGAACAGCCAGTGTTCTTAACCACTGAGCCATCTTTCCAGCCCCACGAGAAAGACAGTATATATTCATTCATGCTAGCCTGAAACTTGTAGCAGTCATTCTTCCTCTGCCTCCCCTCTACACTGAGAATATCTGTCCTTTACCTGCTCGTGTCCAATGTCACTGATGGGATTGCTGTTACACTCGAGTCAGTAATTTAATTTTAGCTCATACCCCTTTTGGTGGCATGGACTTTTATTAAATAATAATAATGATGAATGAAAATTATGGAATTAATGGAAAATTCATAATATAAAATTTGGGAAGTTTATGTCCATCTACTTCCTCTTGGTAATAGCATGTGGAAAAGACTGGCAGATAAAGGAGTGGGATCTGAGCTGTGGCATAGACTGAATGGAAGCTTCATGGCCATTCTAAATTACTACAGATGTCTGTTGAAGAGTTTGATGGCAAACAGCTTAGCTATTTGTGTGAGTTTTTTTTTACCATATTTGTTATTAGGACTAGAAACCAAGAATGCTTGATTTCTGTGATTCCTCCCCCCCCTTTAGGAGTCAGTGGGGAAATTAATGGAAGATAATAAAATTGTTATTATTTTTTTTTAATCTAATTTTTAATAAGAACTTAGTTTTGAGGTTTTGAATTTGTGGATTAAAATTTGTGTCAAGATACAATTCTAGTATTAAACTTCCCTTTGGGAAAATGCTTGAGTTAAATAGTCTTACATTTCTAGTAAAAATATACCATGGTATTATATGGTTGAGTGATAGAAACTTAAAATACATCTAGGGCCAGACCCCCCACCCCCAAGAAAGTGTCAGATTAATCCATATAGAAAGATGAGTCTAAAGTGATGTTGTAGTAAGAGGAAACTCAAAGTGGGACTGCAGGTTTGGGAGGTAACTCAATAGAGTTTGCCTAGCATGCACAAAACACTGGGTTTAATCTCCAGCCCCAAACCTCCTCCAAAAGGGGGAGAGAAAATTCTGTCAGGCATCATAATGTATACCTGTAATCCTGGCACTCCAGAGGCTGAGGCAGGAGAATTGTCAGGATGGTAGTAGAGTGATACCCTCTTTCAAAACAAAACAGAAACAGCTGGGTGGGTGGCACATGCCTTTAATCCCAGCATTCAGGAGCCTGAGACAGGTAAATCTGTGAAATTGAGGTCAACCTGGTCTACTTAGTGAGTTCCAGGCCTGCTAGACCTACAGGGAGACCCTGTCTCAAACAAAACAAAACAAAACAAAACCCAGAACAAAGTAGAACACTGGCCTCTATCCCTGACCTTCAGTCCCCTTGCTGCTCTTCCCTCCCAATGGCAGAGGGAATCCTGTTGGATTACTAGTGAATAAAATGAGTCAAACTTCATTTGGTACAAGATATAATGAATGTATTTAGTCTTAAAATATCCTGTGTGGGTTTCATCGAAGGACAATATATCAATTGGAGAAATGAAAACCTATTTTCAAGAGGATAAAAGTTACTAGTAGTATAACTTGCTTAGAAATAATTTTTTGAGCATTACAGAGCATTTGTGTTTGTTATAAATTTATTCAAGGAAGAGTATTTGACATTTAATTTAAAAAATTAGCATTTTACTCTAGGTGTTTGACTTACTATTTGTATTTTTTCCTTTCCTTTCTTTCTTCTCTCCTTCCTTCCCATCTTTCTTACTTTTTTTATTTTTTAGAGACAGGATCGTATGTATCCCAGGCCAATCTTGAACTCTTGATTCACCTGCCTCCAGCTCCAAAGTGCTGGAATGATTGATGTGCGTTAGTGTGCTTTATTTTATATCTTGCTGAGTTGAGATTTTTCTGAATTTTATTTTTGAAAATGTTTATGGCATTGGTAAAAATTAGTGATTTGTTCAGTTTTCAAAAACACGTGTAATATTAACTATACTTTAACAAGTTTATCTTACCTCACATGTTTACTACTTTGTAATAGGTTCTGTGTCATCTAAAAGGCTTTATAGTAGAGGAGTAAGTAGTTTATGTTTATTATAGAAATGTTGGATGAGGCAGGGATGGGAATTAAAGGAAACAGAGACTCTATAATCATATTTAACAATTTATGATTGGTCATCAATCATGTATCATATTACTATTTATTTATTTATTTATTTATTTATTGGTCTTTTTGAGACAGGATTTCCCTGTAGCCCTAGCTGACCTGGAGCTTACTATGTAGACCAAGTTGGCCTTGAACTCAAGGAGATCACCTCCCTCTGCCTTTCCAGTGCTGGCATTAAAGGCGTGTGCCACCATGCCTGGCTTTATATTGTTATTGATATCTTGTTTCAGTTTTGTGGTTTGCATATTGTTTGTGACTGAGCTGTGCTTTAACACTGCTTTTCAATGTTAGGGTTATAACTCAGTGTTACTGTACTTGAATAGCACATGTGAGACTCCCAAGTTTGATCCTCAGCACTGCTGCCCTCTAAAAAGCAACAAGTGTAAGAAACCACCACTGTGTACTTTTCTCTTTGCTTTAGTATGTGATACATGCTTCTTTTGGGGGTGAGGTGCTAGAGATTGAACCCAAGACCTTAAGTGTGCTGGGTGTGTGCTTTATAACTGGTATATATCTTTAGCCCCTCATGTATACTTTTCTTTGAAGTTTAAATTGTTCTCACTTTGTCTTTTAAGTGATGATTTGTTGGAGGATTCAGACAGTGAAGAGCATTCCAGATCAGATTCTGTTACAGGTATGTTAAAAAAAAAAACCAAAAACCTTTGATCACACATGTATATATATTTTACATATGTGTATGAATGTATTGCCTCACTGTATATAGGTGCTCCAGTGTCATGTAGTGCCTGGGGAGACCAGAAGAGAGTTTAGATTCCTGAAACTGGAGTTACAGACAGTTATTGGCTACCATGCTTTTGCTGGGAACTGAACCTGGGTCTTCTGCAAGAGCAGCCAGTGCTTTTACCTGCTGAGCCATCTCTCCAGTACTGATCACATATTTTTTAATTCCTTAGATTTATACAGTTCTAGGTAAAGCTAATATCAATTAGTGAAACTTAAAATCTTTAAAATATCTTTTATTATTTTTATTTTTTGTGTGTATGAGTGTATTGACTGTATGTGAGTATACCCGTGTCATTCACTGCCTGTGTAGGTCAGAAGAGAGCATCAGATTCCCCTGGAACTGGAGTTATGGATGGTTGTTAGCTGCTGTGTGGGTGCTGGGAATTGAACCTGGGTCCTCTGCAAGAGCAGTCAGTGCTCTTAACTGCTGAATCATCTCTCCAATCTGAGATTTAAAATCTTTACTGAGTGTTTATCAGAGATTTTGAATTAGTAGTAAATACACAGGGTTCCCTAATTAAGTTTAAATGACAGCCATATGATTCAAAGAATTAGTTATGTTAAGTCTCTATTTCATATGCCAGGGAATTAAAGTTGTGTTTGATGTAATCTGCCAAATAAAAATTATTTGTATTGAAAATAACTGAAACTATGTAATCATAGGCATTGTGATATCAAGTAAATACTGCTTTATTCTCTCATGAAGTACTAAGATAAAGCATCATGGTTCGTTGTGTAGGTCAGGCCTGGTACTTACTACGTAGTTTAACCTGACCTTGAACTCCATGATCTTCCTGCCTCAGCCTCCTCAGTGTTAGACTGTAGCCATGTGCCAACATGCCTGGCTTACATGTTTCATATTTTAATATCAGTAGGGAAAACTAACAGTGCATTTCAAAGTAACTTTATTATAATTATTTATAGTATTTCTTTGTATATATATGCTGGTGCACTTACCTGTGAATATGGATAAGGAGGCCAGAGGTCGATGTGTTGGGTGTCTCTATTACTCTACATTTTTTGAAATATTCTTTTGCTAAACCTGGAGCTTGTTATTTTGACTAGGCTAGCTGGTGAATAAGCCTGAGGGATCCACCTGTCTCTGTGCCCCTGGTATTGGGGTTATGGACAGGCATTGCCATGCCTAGCTTTTAAATAGGTACCGGGGATCTGGAACTCAAATTCTCATGCTTGTGCGGCAAGCCCTTTACCAACTGAGCCATCTGTTCCAGCCCTATTGTGTTAGAATTTAAATCCCATCTCTGCTGATTGTTATAGTATAATCGTATTTCCTAAATTGTAAACTAATGTCATTTACCATGTGTTAAAGTTCTAGGGATTAAATAAGATAACTGCTCTAGGGATTAAACAAGATCTTTGCATTTAAAACAGTGAGCACAGTATCTGAGTAGCCAGTTTCTTTGTTTTGTGGGGTTTTTTTGGGTCTGTTTTGTTTTTAAGACAGGGTCTCCCAGTAGCCCCAGCTTGGCCTGGAACTTGCTATGTAGACCAGGCTGGTCTTGAACTCACAGAGATCTGCCTGCCCCTGCCTCCTGAGTGTTGGGATTAAAGGTATGCGCCACCATGCCCAGCTCATGATTTTTTAAAAATTTTAA